GGGAAGAGAAAAGCTGTAAGCCTTTGGTCTCTGGGTGAACTTGGAAAACAGACCTGTCAAAGGTATTCACGTTCAGACAGCTGGTCTGGAGCTGGAAAGGCTGCCAAATTATGCTGTTCCTCAAGGCTGCAAGAATTTTGTGAAGTGGCCTTAAAATGATCATGCTCAGTGAGGCTGGGGAACGCTGGGCCCGGACGTGCCTCTGTACAGGACGTGCTGTGCTGGGGGGAGAATAAGGTCGCCGCGCTGGTCCAGGCCAGCACAAAGGAGGGAGCCAGCTCACTACTTGCCAGAGACTGGGCTGGGAGCCAGAGATGCTGGGGTGTCTTGCAAATCAGATCTTCAAACAAATAAGCAAAAAAACCTTTAAAAAATAGCACATGAGTTGGCCAATGTTGTTCCTTCAGCATGCCCCCTTCACAGTGTTCATAATTAGGGAACCTTACTACACTTAGGGTTCTCTCCAGAGCTGACCCCCCAGGGCCGGGCCCCCAAACCAGCTGAGTGTTGGCCCCCAACCCCTGCTGAGTAATAGAATGAGGCCATCACCGGCCTGGAGGACTTGGCTTGAGGGATGGAGAACCTGCTATGGGATGTGTTTCTTATCCTAACTGCTCCCTGCACTTTCCTCCCCTGGTTTGTTTTGGTTACAGCCCCTGGGGCTGTGGCTCCCGAAAACTCCCTCAAAGGGAGGACGAGAGTGTTGAGCGAGCTTTGAGCTCGGGAAACCATGGAGAATAGAATTTACGTCTGCAGATCTGGTTCTGTCCTGGTTCTCTTTCTCAGAATTCCTTTTCTCTTGAACCAGTGAGAGGTTTAAAAAATGTTTTTTTTTTTTAATTTTTTTTAAGATTTTATTTATCTTTAGAGGGCAAGAGAAGGAGAGAGGGAGAGAAATATCAATGTATGGTTGCCTCTAGTGCGTCCCCTGCTGGGAACTGGCCTGCAGGGAACCGACCTGCACCCCAGGCATGTGCCCTGACTGGGAATCGAACCGCGATTGTCTGGTTCGCAGGCCCACGCTCAATCCACTGAGCTACACTAGTCAGGGCTGTTTTTTTTTTTAAAGATGCACAAAACCTTCCCAAACACAAGCTGCACCACAGGCAGAACCTCCACCCCTGTGCACAGGTGGGGGCTCTATTCAGCTGATGCTGGCCCTGGCCCATCCCCACAGGCTCAGGATGCAGTGGCAGGAACCCACATCTAGCCCTGAGCCTGGGCTTCCGTGACTGGGCTTCCGTGACTGAGCTCTCGCTCTCATTTGCAAAGCCTGGATCACTTACTGGGAGGGAAACTCAGTCAGGAAGTGTCCTCTGGAGGTGTGCGCCCTGTCCCATTGCTCAGCAACGGGCACCTGTCTCCCAGAAGGCAGAGAGGACTGTTCGACCTCATCCAGTTGCTGTCATTTTGCAGCTCCCTCTCTCCCCTGAAGGGGCAGCCCTCTCTCAGCCAGGAAGGCCCTTTAGCACTGGGCTTCTAAAATCAGACTAAGGCTGAAAGGGTGGGTTTTACTGAACGGTTGGCCAGGGGTGGGCATGTGCCCTGGATCCCTGCGTTTGTTACCAGTCAGATTTTCTCCTCCATCTTCGTTGGCTGTTGTAAAATGCCCAGCTGTCTGCCTGCTGCAGCGCGGGTGCGGCAGGGCGCACACTTCTCCCAAAGGTGTGTCTCTGAGGTGTTCTGTCTTTTGTGTCCCTTGATGAAGGGTTACTATGGTAATGTCCTGTGGCAAACAGGCAGGAGGAAATGGAAGATAAGGTTTGTGCTTAGCTCTAGGTGGAGTGTGGATCTCTGCCCCTCCTTATTTTCACTTGGCACGGCTTCCCTCCCATCCCACGGGGCTGAGTTCAAAAGTGAGCTGGAGTTTTGCAAAAAGGATGGGGTCCTGGATTTTCTGGGTCCTTGGTGAGGAAGGCAGCAGAATGACGCCCTTGCCCAGCTCTTTACAGGGGGCTGGAAACCCTCCTCCTGCCGCTGCACACATGTAGCCCAGCCACTCCACTCCACCTCATTGTCACTCGCAGGTGGGTCAGGTCTGGCGCCCCGAATCTACTGCTTCATTAGTGGTAAATGAGTTCAGGCCAGTGGACGTTTCAGCCACAAAGGGAGAGTTCAAGGTGGGTGGGGGGAAGCTCATGGAAGTTGGGGGGATTCCTGGAGAGTTGACCTTCAGCGCTCTCAGCCACAGGTGCTACTTACAGGTCACTCCATTGCTTTATTTCCCTGTGTTGTCTACTTCCCATCCCCTACCCAAATCAGGGGGCCAAGCACACTGAGTTCTGGTGATCCCTCACATGCTCCAGGTCTTTGCGGTCATTGTCACCATCTTCCTGCACAAATAGAGCAGTGCTGCCCAAAATAAAAAGACCACATCCCTCCTCTCCTTCCCCCCACCAACGGCCACTGTGCCTTTTCTGGGGCAAGCCTTCCACTAATACTCCAGACAGAAAGAGGAAGCAGGCCCCTCAGCTTTCTTGAGAAACCGTAGTTTCAAACGATCTTCTTGCCACAGGGGTGGGCTTGGGGCACCACTGTGAGTGTTTCTGTGCCTCTTTTGGAAGAGGCCAGGTAGAGTGTCCTTAGCACGCCACAGACGCTGATGGGAGTGGGGGTGCAGGAGCCAGTCAAGTGGGCTCCCTCTCCCACTGCAGCTGTCCCTCTGCAGCCGTCCTGCTGCGACCGGCCCTCCGGCCTGTGCCTTTACGCTCAGCTGGGCTTCTGCTCCCCCGCCCAGGCATGGTCAGGACTGTAGCGCTGCAGATATGCCGCCTCCACCAGGGACAGGGCAGAATGAAGCTGGGCTGGACAAGCAGGCGTTTCTGCATTCATGGCTCCTGAGCCCTAGGGTCATTTAGGCATCCAAGCACCCTTCCCTGCTTGGCTAAGGTAGGTCCACCTGTGCTGGGCATTGGCTCACACTGCCAGGAGCACTTGGAGGGAAGCTTCAGGGAAACCACTAGGTGGGCCATTCCCTGCCCCTAAACAAGGGCTGTGCTGGGGAACATGGGGAACAGCTCTGTCAAGACTAATAGGTGAGCATAGGAGACGTACTATTGCTCTCCCCCTTTCCCTGGACCTCTCTCTAGTCACTGTCACATGTGAAATCCAAGGTGAGGGGTTCTCACCAGGGAGCATCGAGCAGGCAGGTGCCTCTGGTGTCCTGTGTCATCAGTGCTGTGGTTACTGATAAATGAATTCCTGCTGTTGCAGGTGTGACTGATTTTTCACTCCCACCAACAGGAGAGTTCTCGGGAGTAGCCAAGCAGCTTTTCAGCCTCCACACTGAGCAGTTTCTGCATTGGGCGCAGCTGTTAGTACCTCCTCACAACGAATACTATGTAATATTGTGAATTTTAAATGCGTGGTTTTCACATAGCTGGAAATTTTCCCCCTAGTTACTTTATAGTGTTTCCGAGTTGTGACTTGGCAGAGATTTCTCGTGTTTCCAACATAACCTAAGTTGCTGGGAGTTCGTTAGTGCCAGAAAGAGGTCAGATTCGAGTTGAGCCCAGAGCGTGGACTGGAAGGACACTGTGGCAGGACCGAGGTGTGGGCGGAATTGCAGAGGTGGGGGTGTCACGTGCATGTTGAGAGAGTCTCTGTTTCTCGTGAAGAAACGCGGTGAGGAGGTTGGCAGTCTGCAGGAGAACCGTGCCGCAGGGGCACAGTCTTTGATTTCCTCGTCTTTGGTGCTGAGGCATCTTGTCTGGCAAGAGAGAGCCCGTCCAGAAAGGCAGGTAAAGAAACCCTAACCTAGGCAGCCACAGGTTGGGCTCAGATCCCTCTAGCTTTCTTTTTCTTTATTTTGAGCAATGTCAAATTTATAGAATGTTCCTGAAAGAGGAACACCCTTGTATCCTCACCTAGATTTACCGGCTGTTAAAATTCCACCACCATTACTTTCCGCTGTAGAATTTTTCAGAGTTATTCGAGAGAGAATTGCAGACACAAAGACATTTCACCCCTAAGTACTTCAGCATGTATCGTTTCAGAAAAAGGAGTTCCCTGTGGAGTGGTGATACCATGATCACACCCGAGAAGAGCGGTAATTCCCTGGTGTCTAACTGCCAGTCCACATCCTGATCTGCTCCGCTGTCTCCAAAATGGGTTTTCTAGTTTTTTTTGTAATCAGGATCCCATGTGACAAATTGTATTTGGTTATTATCTCTCTTCAGTCTGTTTCTAATCTACATGCACCCCACCTCTTTCTTTTTATACATATTTTTATGATGTTGGCTCTGTAGAGTCCAGTCGTCTCTCCCCAGTTTTGAGCCTGAGTGTGCAGGCGGTCGGTGTGGACTCCATGGACACAGGCTGACTAAGCACCTGTCATATGCCACCGCCCCCTCAAGCCCCGTAAACCCACGGAAGACCCATTGCTCAGTCCCAGGCCTGCACGGTTCACTCTCGGGCCACGATGTTGGCTCCTCAGGGTTGGTCCTGGCGACACCTGGATGCTGACTGCAGGCAGCCCTGTTCTGGCAGATCTCAGCTCTGCCACTTCTTACTGAGGGACCTTTGGCTGGCCTCTCCTCCTCTCAAATCCTCAGGGTCTTCATTTCCAAAACAAGGGGTTGTACCAGAGGTTTGACTCGATACCTCTGTGACTCGACTCAGAGCATGCCAGGCAGACTGCCTGCGTCTTGCCCCTCAGGGGGCTGCTTCGGGAACCGGTGCCTGTGCCCTTCCCAGCACCAGGATTGGGGGCCGGGAGGATGTAGGTGGTCCTCTGATGCCCTAACTCAGGGGTGTCAGACTCATTTTCACCGGGGGCCACATCAGCCTCGCGGTTGCCTTCAAAGAGCCAAATGTAATTTTAGGGCTATATTAATGTAACTACTCCTTAACTAGGGGCAAGGGGCTCAGTGCTGCCACCGGGTAGAAACAGAGTGCTGGGCCAGATAAAACACAGTTGAAGGGTGGATTCGGCCCTTCACAGGGGCGGGCCTCGTGTTTGCCACCTGTGCCCTAACGTGACCGTGTGCTGTTCCCCACAGCGGAGATTCTGGAGCTGGCTGGCAATGCGGCCAGAGACAACAAGAAGGGACGGGTCACGCCCCGCCACATCCTGCTGGCCGTGGCCAACGATGAAGAGCTGAATCAGGTAAGGGGCTCTTGTAGCTGCTCCGCCCCAGGCCCCTGAGCAGCCAGTCATGCTGTGTGAGAGACAGCGGTCTGTGCAGGGGCGTTGGTGTTTGGCTGGCTGTCAGTGGTGTGGACCGCGTTGTGGACTGTTAGCAGCGTCCCCGCCCCTCACAGCAGTGTCTCCTGAAGGCCTTATTGGGAGTGGGGGGCAGGGATGAAACAAGGTACTTGGTGCTCCGTAGAGGAAAGAGATCATCAAAATTCCCCACCCTGAGTGAGGGACTCTGAGGACTTGTTCCTGTGTAGTAAACCTGGGTCCCATCTGCCTCCTTGTAGAGGTGCTCTACCAACCAAAACAGAAAGCCTGGATGGGCAGGGCTGATGTCTTGAAGGTCAGGGGCAGGGTGGCCTGGCTCACCATTTGCTACTTTGGTTTTCCTGCAAGCTGCTAAAAGGAGTCACCATAGCCAGTGGTGGGGTGTTGCCAAACATCCACCCGGAGTTGCTAGCGAAGAAACGAGGATCCAAAGGGAAGCTGGAAGCCATCATCACGCCACCCCCAGCCAAAAAAGCCAAGTCTCCATCCCAGAAGAAGCCCACGTCTAAGAAGACAGGAGGCAAGAAGGGGGCCCGGAAATCCAAGGTACGCGATTCATCAGGGGTGTGTGGGGCAGGGCAGGGCAGTGCAGACAGGTGGGTCGAGAGGGGCCCCTTCCTGCTGAGTGCTCATCCCACTGATGGGGTGCAGCACTACCAAAGGACATGTGGGAACCAGTTACAGAGGGTCTGGTCCTGCTCAAGTGGCCAAAGTCTGGACACAGTTTGAGGACTGGATTCCTGTAGGCAAGGGGGATGCAGGGAGGGAGCTGGGTAGATCGGGGTCAAAGGGCCTCATGCCTGGCCTTTTGAGGGGACGCCCTCACCTGTGGGAGGTAAGTTGTGTGCACAGGAGCTTCCCTGTGCTGTGGACAGTGGCCATCAGGCCCTGCCCAGAGGTTGCCAGCCGCCTCCTTCCCCTGGCACTCTCAGAACCGATGTTGCATTGCCATAGCTGCATGTCCTCCTGGCCACGTTCCAGCCGGGACAGTCCAAGACAGTTTGCTTTTTAGAATGATTCCCTCATTAAGGAACAAAACAGGTGCGTTATTCAAGCCCTTCCTACTAGACTCAACTCGGACTGAAACCAGGTCATGGGTGCCAGTCTTCTTGTGGTGAGAGAAACCCTCTCGTTAGTGTGCCCCTTCATCACTGGGCTCTGCCTCCAGCAGCTGTCCCAGTGGGCTCCCGGGCTAGCAAATGAGGTCCAGTGCGGTTGGAGCTTTGTCTAGGTGAGTGGGACTGCCTGGCCCTGCGGCAGCCCCTCTGGAGTCAGCCTTCCAGCCACCAGCCAGACTAGGGGACAGTCACCTCTGGCAGAAGGTGACCTCACTATTTTGTAAGCCCCTCGACGAACTCCTTGGAAATGACTCGTTGGGTCTAATGATGCTGGTCAGGACAGTCTTACTCCTGGAGCACAAAGCCTCTCACCAGAGTGTAATGGTGAGGACACCTCCCAGGACAGCTGCAGGGGCCCTGACCCAGAGCCTCACACCTGCCGCTGTCCCAGCGTGTCCCCTCATGTGATTCTGTACAAAGACTGGGTCCCTGGTATGTCTGTGCCTCAGCCAGACTGGCTTTCACCACACGGGGACACCTTCCCTGACCTCTAACCTCCCATCCACACTCCTTGCAGGCCTTCCGTAGTTGAGGTGGAAGAGGGTGCACTTTTGTGTACATCCTTCTCTGTGCAAACAAGTGCTTCCCTGAAAACGTTAGAGTCGAAATACCTCTTTCCAACAGACCACCCGCCTCACTCCCCCCATTTTACCCCACCCGGCCCCAGCTCTTTGAGAGAGAAACCTGATATTGAAGAGCATCCTGTAAATCCATTTCCAGACGCTTGCACTCCACCTAGCTCACAAGTCCTGGAGGAGGCTTGGAGCCAGGCAGGGAATTCACAGAGTGCTCCGCTCTCATTCCTGCTAACTATAAAATTAGCAGACTGACGGTTTCTTTTCCCCCTTTCAACATTTGTAGTTGGGGGGAGGAGCAGGATGGGGAAGGCAGGGAAAAGTGCCTGTGCAACCCCTTTCAGATGTTACAGGAGAAGAGGAAGGTGCAAAGTCCATCTCTCTTTGAGAGCAGGCCCCAGGGAGCAGGCTGCCCACAGAGCAGGGCCCTTGCTGCTGGGCGAGGGGCACCAGCAGGGCAGAACCTCGTCCCTCTGCCTGGCCACCCTCCAGCTGTGGCCCGAGCCTTGGCCCTCGTTCCTGTCTGTGCAGCTCCCCGACTGCAGTGTGTCTGGCATCCCCGGGCTGACCCGTGCTCCCTGTCACTCCGATTCCCAGAGTTTTGCCCATGACTTTCTGAACTTTCCAACTGACCGAACACTGGGAAGGCTTTTTGGAACTATGGAGGGGGCGTGTGTGTCTTTTGCTCCTAGTAGCTATATTTGGAACTGTGTTTCTAATACCCACATGTCAATAATCGCTCGAACACTCCGCTTTTCCCTTGATTACAAAAGCAGGAAGTCTGTTATGGTGGTCTGTTTTTCTTCCACACAATGAATCACATTGTCTGCTTACTGTACGAGTGTTTGGCTAACATTAAACCCTGGGGGAAGCTGAAATTGGAACCGTGAACAGCTAATTTTCAAAACATTTGTTTAATGTAAATTGTGGTGTCAGCTCCCAGAAAGAGCGGAGAACCCTGCATCTCCAGGTTTAAGTGGAATGTTCTGAAAATAACCTTTCCAGAGACAGCCAGAGAGCCTTCGTAACATGCTGAAGTGCTTGCAGTGGAAGGGAGTTGGTATTTTTCAAGTGTCAACACTCAAATTCCCAATCATAATTTTCCCCCCAATTCCATGTTGTTGGAAGTTTTTGAAAGTCTCCAGTTGTGACAGCTGAGTCAGCCACAGTGGAAACGCTGAGAGAGTGGGGAAGGCAGCCGAGCCCCCGGGGGCCGGGAGTCTGTAGCCCTGGCAGTGCCTTAGGGCTCCCACTTCCTATGTGGGTGGCCTCAGGCAAGTCCGTGCCTCAGTTTACACCCCCTCCAATAAAATGATGGGGTCCATCCCAGACTTAGGACCCAGTGACTCAATGAATATTTGCATAATGTGTTTTTTACTAGGTAGTAGGTGCAAGAGTACATGGCGATAAAACCTCACTCCCACCAGTCCACCCCGCTTCCTCCCAGACAGGTTTCTGTAGTCAGTTTCTATGTACCCTTTCAGAAGGGCTCTGCCCGGAAAGGCCCATTAGATGTGCACACCCTGCCCCGTTCTACCGAAACACGTTACCCGCTGTTTTGGTGGGGTTCCACGGTGGCTAGGGGTTGCCACTCACCTGGCTTTGCATTCCAGTTCTGCCATTTCCTGGCTAGGTGGCCTTGGGAAGTGGCCTGACTTGGGAAATGACTTGACCTCTGTGGTATCTGTCTCAGTGTTCTCATCTGTAAAATGGGTGGTTGGTCGGCTTCAAAGAGAATTGATGTGAAGCACTTATAATAGTGTTGCCCAAATGTTAGCTGCTGGAGTTACGAACTCGGCGGTGCTTCAGTATCTGCACGTTTGAGCCTCCTTAGTGTCTCCTGTGTGACTCTGGTTACTTACATAGTATGCAAGACCAGTGTACCCAGATCTGCACGCATGGACTTCTGGTTGTTGCTGTCATTCACTCTGTGCACAGCACCACAGAGACGTCACTGTGTATGGGTCTCTGTGCTGCTCACGTGCCAGAGTGTCCGTAGGATGAAGTCCTCAAGGTGAACTTGCTGAGGCAGACAGTGTGGTTTTCAACTTTGATGGCTATTGCTTACATATAGAGCATTTTATCCCATTAAGAAATTTCAAAAGCCCGCTCATTCTTTCACCTTGTAACACTGGGTTGGTGAAAGATGTAGTCATGTGATCGGTATTGCTCACCACATCATGTGGTAAGTCCACATGTGTTCGCCATCACAGTTCTCAGTAGTGGGGTACAGCAGGGAGCTTGGTCTCATGAGGGGACCGAGTCCTCAGAGAAGGCTGTTGGGAGGAGAGCAGGCACAAGGACAGAAATAAAGTGGAGTGACGGCACGGGCAGTGTGATCGAACATGGGTGCTCAGGTGAGCCTTGTCGGCAAGGTGACACTTGAATGGAGACCTGACAGAGTGAGGTGTCGGGCGTTCAGGTGCCTGGGAGGAGACAAGTCCAGGAAGAGCAGCAGCTAGGGCCCCGAGGCAGGAGCACGCGTGGCTCCTTGCAGAGAGAAGCAGACAGGATTTGCATGCGGGGGCCCTCACATGTCTCTGGTGGATGCCTTTTGCAGTCAGAGAAGCCCAGGATCCTTTTCCAGATGAGGTTTCAGTGTGTAAAATACCAGATTTAGAGGAAACCACTTTTTTAAAAAAGAAAAAAAGTGTGGTTTTCCCTGTGATGAGAACTCTAGGATCTGCTCTCTTAACAGCTCCCACGTGCACCGTACAGCCGTGTTAACTGCGGTCCTCATGTCCTGCATCACAGACATGTCGCCTGCTGCCGCTTCTTGTTTCTGTACTGCACGAGGAGGGAAGGGGCTCACGGGGTGTGAGGCTGAGACAATTGAGGACCCCATTTAAATAAAATACAAAACTATAAATATAAAATTAGATGTAGCGCCTTAGATGGGATCTGCACACCTTAAGGGACCTTTATTATTTTCAGAGTAAATTAATTCTGCAAGGGTGGATATTTTGCTTTTTTGTTCTGATCTATCATTTAACACGGTGTTTGGGAGGTTCACCTAGGTTGCTGTGAGTAGCAGACAGCACCAAATCCGTACATTTCACTGTTCGAATGTACCATGATGTGCTTATTCTGTGGTTGAGAGATTTGTTTCCAATTTGAGGCTCCTACTGCAAAAGAGCAAGGCCTTCTGTGCACACACGTTGCATTGTGTTGGAAGTATGCCTCTGAGTGGGATTGTGATGTCTTGGGTGTTCGCGTGTTCAGCTTTAGGGAATGGGGCCGAATAGTTTCTTTCCCAAGTGGCAGTGCAGTGTGCCGTCCGGTGCAGCGTGCCATCCGGTGCAGCGTGCTGTCCAGTGCAGTGTATGGGAGCTCCAGTTCCACATTGTTGCCCAAGCAGGGACTTGGAAACTTAACTTTTAGCCATTCTGGTGGGTGTGTATTGTCCTGATGACTGAGTAGCTTTAGCATGTTTTCAGGTAAATTTTGGTCCTCTGGATATTTTCTCTTGTACAAATGTTTTATGCATTTTTTAAAAATTGGGTTATCTTGTTCATTTTAATGACTTACAGTTCTTTCTATATTATAGGTGAGCTCTTTTTCATTGACGCATAAGGTTATATTTGTTGACACATAATTGACACATGAGTATATTTGTTTTAGGTGCACAACATAATGACTTGCTATTTGTATACACAGCTGATACTTGAATAATGTTTTGTTGTAACACTGAGAGTTGCCTTGGGAACTGAGTTCTTGGTTATATATAGGCTAGCCTATGGCAAAATTGTTCCAAATTTTAAAAGATATTTGGAACAATATCTTTTGTTGTTCCAACATATTGTTCATATGTATGATTGTATCATCTCACAGCTTTCCCAGAACCTGTTGATGT